CTAGAAGATTAATAGAGAGTTTTCAAACGAGAAATTAGGAAATCAAAAGTCGTATATGAAAAAAGGTTGGCTGAAGATTTAAGAATAAAGAATAAGGATTTCCTCAAATACATTAAGGGTAAGCAAAACGATAAGATGGGAGTAAGGCCTTTAAAGGATGATACAGAAGGCTAATATCTCACGATCATGAAATAGCTGGGTTATTGAACTTTACTTTTTATTCAGTTTTTACTAATGAAGATTTAAGCAATAGTACACTCCCTGAACTATCGCTAGATGGAAACAAAATTGAACAAGATGATCTCACTAACTCTGAGATCATTAATAAATATTGAGATGTTTAAAAAACGCTGAAGCTCGTGGGCCAGATAATATCTATCCATAGGTTAAGGATGGAATATGTGAGCCACTTGCTATTATTTTTTCCAATTCCTTGCACAGTTGGCAGGTGCCAAGAGATCGGCAATTGGCTAATGTTACTTCTCTTTTCAAGTAATTACAGGTCTATTAGTCTTACATCAATGGTAGGAAAAGTTTTTGAAAGCCTCATAAAACATGCTTTGCAAAATCATTTAACAAAATTAAAAATTTTGTTGGATAATCAGCATGGTTTCACTAGGGGAAAATCTTGCTTTACTAGTCTTTTGACATCATTTGAAGAGGTTACTGCTTACGTAAATGAGGATACGGGTGTTTATTTGGTGTATCTGGAATTTCAGAAGACATTTGACAAGTGCCACATAAAAGTTTTTTCTGTAGGTGTGTGGATTGGTTGGCCCATTGGATATAAAACTGGCAAGAATGAAGAATTCGGAGGGTTGTTATAAATAGAGTTATGTGAAACTGGATTGATATCATGAGTGAGGTACCTCAGGGCTAAGTGTTAGAACCTTTGCTATTTTTGATTTACAGCAATGATATGGACGAAAGCATGGTCAATAAATTATTTAAATTTGTTGATTACATTATAGTTTTGCGTGTTGCTGGCTGTGAAGAGGATGCTACTGCTTTACAAAAGGATTTGAATTACTTGGTGAATTGGACGAATAAATGGCATATGTCTTTTAGTTAAAACAAATGTAAGGTAATGAATGTGGGATATTACAATTTGAATTATTAATATAATTTTGATGGGAATAACCTTGATAGTGTAATGTAAGAAAAAGATCTTGGTGTTTTGGTTCATTAGTCTCTTAAACCATCCAGGCAATGAGCTGTTGCTAGTGGCAGGACAAATAGAAAATTAAGCTGTAATTACAAAAATATTTAATACAAATCTTAAAGGCCCGGCATGGCCAAGTGGTTAGGGCGCTCGACTCACAATGTGGGGGTCGCGCGTTCGAATCCCCGTCACACCAAACATGCTCTCCCTTTTAACCGTTATAATGTGACGGTCAATCTCACTATTCGTTGGTAAAGGAGTATCCCACAAGAGATTATAATTTTATTGTATAGGTCATTGGTTAGGTCACATTTGGAGTAAAGTGTCAGTCTTGGGCTCTTTACTTTAGAAAAGACATTGAACTGTTGGTTTGTTCTGTTTTTTGGAATTTCGCGCAAAGCTACACGAGGGCTATCTGCGCTAGCCGTCCCTAATTTAGTA